TTGTACACGCCAGATTTTTAAAGGTAAATTGGCTTTTCTTATTTGTTTGACTTTAAAGAAACGTTTCTAACATTTTATTTCTTACTTTTATCCTAGGGTTTCTGGATTTCTTGACTGGTAAGTTGTTTTTTATTTGTTTTGTTTTAAAGAAACATTTTTAACGTTTCATTTTTATTTTTTTTATCTAGGAACGTGGATTTTTGTATATGCCAGACTTTTAAAAGTAAATTGTGAAGAGGGGCTTTTCTTATTTGTTTAACTTTAAAGAAACGTTTCTAATGTTTCATTTTTTATTTTTTTTAGGGATGCCAGATTTTTTGTACAAATTGAATTTTTAAAGATATTTGGATTTTTGTACAAAATCTTTCACTCCGGACTTACAACGGTTTCCGTTTTCTAGTTATATTAATAAAAATGATAAAATAAAAATAATTAATAAATTTAAAGAGATTTATTTTTAAAATTTAAAAATAAAACAATTAATAAATATAATAAATTTTCTACTAGTTTATATTATTAGTCCAGAGTGTAGCGAAGGACTCTATATGTTCTAGCTGTGGTAGTACAAAATATCTCATTGTTCATCCACTTGTTCTTTGAGTTAACGTTTAATTAGTTCTTATATTACTATATTACATGAAATTATTTCGATCAGTTAATTGAGCATGTGATTATCTACCTATATACTGATAAGCTCTGGACTACGCAACGGTTTACCGTTTTCCTAGTAGTAAATACTCTTAATTACAATGGTACAGTCAAACCTTTATATAACAATATGTCAGGACATATATGAAATTTTTAGAAAATATCATTATATTAAAGTTATACCGATATTTATATGTCCTCACATATAGTGGGAAAATAAAATTTTATCAGTATAACAAGTTTTTAATAGTATATCAGTATATCAAATATCAGTATATTGAGGTTAGACTGTATACTGAATAATAATTGTAAAATGGGTCTTCATAAGAGGATGACAAGTGGTTTGGGATTTACTAAAATTTTTGTATACTTCATGCTTATATTTCAAATTTATTTTTTTCTAATAAAGTTTCAAATACACTGCAGTCAGCAAAAAAAAAAAAAATATAATTGTGGAATAGAAAAAAAAATTTGGCAATAATATATAAATTATATATATTAATCACACTCAAATTATATAAAAAAAATTATATTTAATCAAATTCAAATATTTAATTTAATTCAAAATTTTGATCTTATTATTACTTTTATGAATTCTTTTTATTGTAAAAAATTACTTTTTATTACTTAGGCGTAATTATATTAAGACAAGATCGCATCTATAAAAAAAAAAAAAGAAATATTAATATTATCAATGTCAAATACAATTTAAATAAAAAAATTTTTTTTAACCCGGGGTACACGCGAACACACCCTACACACCCTGTTTTTGTTACACAAGATCCGTACCACTTTTTTAGAAATAAAATAAAACATACGCGTGGTTTTTTATTCCACATCTCTTTTATTCCACCACTCTTTTTAACTAAATAATTTTTAGCCGGTTTGTGGCAATTTGAGTACTTGGCGCTGACCCGACTAACATAACATTCAAAACTTTCGACCACTTCAGGTTTGTCGTTATTAAAATTAGTTGCGTCCATAGTTTTGTTTCCAGTTTTTGTTATCTCAAGTTAGACTGTACCAAAAATCGGTTAGAGCGTATGTTTTATTTTATTAGATATAGACAAGTAATTATTATAAATTTGAAGTGGATTATCATATTATCATTTAAAGCGTTTATAATAATAATATATCTCATCTATTAGAAACGTGCGTTCGTACCAACAGTGCCAAAAGCCTTTCAAATTTTATACTTAATCGCGGGCCAATAACTCTCGTAATAAAGAAAATTCCCCCAAATCACCAATTATTCCTTTAGATCTCAGTGTGCAACAATTTTTAGAAAATCCAACCAGATTCGATGCTAAGGTATCAGATGATAATACGTTTCAAAAATCAACTTCGTGATGTTAACAATCGCAATTTTTTCCTTAAAAAAAAGTCTGGTAAAGTACGTTCAAATACCTTAACTGTACCTTGCGCACTAAATATGGGTCTAAACCCATTACGTAAGTTATACGTCATTAATTAATTGAAGTTCAAATCATTCATAAGCCGGGTAATTAATTATTAATGTATTTGATTATTGTTCAGTATATTACCTACAGAAGATAACGGAAAATAAGGGAAATGAGAAGTTATATATTAATCCATTAAATCGAAAGGTAATTGTTCGGCTGAGATTTTACGCATAAAACATCGTTACATCGTCTCTTGCTTTAAATTTAATTCTCTTTTAAAAATTCTTGAAAATAGGAGTTTCGGAATCCCAAAAGTACATATTCACCGGCCATAACGAAACCTAAGCCACCAAGACCGAAAAGTCCTTTACCATCACATGTCATTAAAGCTAATCCTGATTATAAAGAACCATATATACCGGTGACTGAGTTACCAATGTTTAGCGTAAAATCTCAGACGAACAATTACCTTTCGATCTAATGGATTAGTTTTGAATCTATAACCTCTCATTTCCGTTATTTTACACTCTTCTGTAGGTAATATACTGAATATCAACATCAAATACATTATAAAATAAATAAAGAATTATTCCTCTCTTTTGTTTTAATGTTCCAAGTGTGATTATAAGTTGAACCATAACACATATATATATTTACCAATTTAAATAGAAAATTGGATTCATTATTTTGATCATATCCTTAAATATAATAACACTTACAATAATGTATTATTTGCTTATTATATTTATAATGTAATATTCGCTAATATCTTTACTTTACTTTTTGTTAATTTATAATGTAATATTCGCTAATTATTGCTAATATCTTTATTTACTTTTTGTTAATAATACGCAGCATATTCCAAACAAAAAAAATTGTTGCTAATTGTCCAAGCGAAGCGAAAAATCGATCACTCTGTCCGCCATGTGATCGTCACCCATTGAAATGGCAAATTTTAATAAAAAATGTTTAATATTTTAATAAAACGATTCTTTTTTTTTCAATAAAAACGAAATTTTTATTTAATATACCGGACTTGGACTTCATAATAAGTTGTGAGAATTGGAATTAGAGAGTAGGAGTTTAGGAATGTTAGAAATTTAACTTTTATTTTTTTCTTATGGCAACTAAAATCAATTCTGTATTTCAGAATATTTTTTTAATCGTAAATTTATATTAATATTGCAAAGAATTTTAGGTTAATAAAAATTATAAATAATATTTTAATTACTTCGATTTATTTTTTTAAATCACATATATTTTTATAATTTTTTTTTTAAAATACCAAATTAGGGTAACAAATAAAAAAGTACATATAATCATATAATTGTGGTGTGAAATAGAAAAAAAAATTATACAGTATAGAGCGGGATATTACGGTATTAATATGACCCGCATTTCAAAATAAAATTATATTTAGTAAAATTTTTTAAAACATATAATTAACGCTAAATTGAATTTATTGTTCCAACTAAATCTATTGAAGTTTTTGCTTAAATAGTACAAAGAGATCCAGTAAATTGTTACTATAATTTGTTACTATAATTCTATTATTTTGTAAGTTCTTCTAATCTATTTTGAGCTTTTCGATATTCTTGTTTAGCTGTTTAGCTACCAGTAAATTGCTGTATCTAGATCTTTTTCAGCTCCGTCTCCTTTTTCAAACTTCAAAGCAGGATTATATTGTGCCGCCTTTTCTCCTACATTTGCAGCCTCAATTCAGCTGCCTTTTGCTTATTAACATTAATTCCAAATTCCAATATCCCAACGTAGTGATTCCTTTTAAATACCCTTCTTCAGCTGATCTTTTACATAATTCAAAAGCTTTTCGATAATCTTTATCATCACCTCCTCTGATATATAAAAGACCAAGATTATGCATAGCCATCAAATGTCCATTATTTGCAGCTTTTCATAAAAATATACAGCCATTTTTAAATTTTTATTGACAATTTTACCAGTTTCATAAAACCAACCTAAATTAAATTGTCCCCATTGCACAATCTTTTTTGGCTACTTTTTCATGATGTAAAAATGCCTGCATTTCATTCTTTTGGAGTTCCAATTCCAGATTGATAACATTTTCCATTAAAATATTATGCTAATATTTGATTCTCTTCTGATACACTCTTAAATGCTCTTTCTTCATCTTTGATTGTTCCAATTCCATAATAATTAAAATATCCAAGTAAAAAGATTGATTCTGCAGTAGTTTGATTATTTGATAACCAATTATAAATTTCATTTGGATTATTTATTTGTTCTTTTGCAATTATCAATTCTCTTTCACTTGTATTCATATTATCGTTATTGGAATTTTGGATCTGGCAAACAAATAATACTTTTAATCTATTAACAACTTCATGTATAGTTGGTCATTTGCTTGGTTCATTATTCCAGAGTGGAATAATTGTTAGGAGTATCAGGAATAATTTCTTCTCTTCGGTCTTGTGAAATGTCATAGATTAAACCAATCTTATTTATCTCTTCATGAAATGGTAGTTTCCCACTTGATATTTCTCAAATAAAACGTCAATACTATAAACATCGCTCTTTTTATCTAATTTTAAATTATTATTATTCATTAATACTTTAGGGAGACATATTAAGTAATTTCGCTTGCGAATTAGATGCCTCATCGATCCTTTTTGCCGATGAACCAATACATTACAGGAATGCTATTATAATATATAAAAAAATTTAATTAATGTAATTCATAAAATATTTTATTAATTTATTAAAAAAATTACCAAGTCTCGGTGAACAATTTCTTCATCATGCAGACATAGTAAGTGAAATAGAAAAAAAAAATATTTCATTTTTATAATAAGAAATTAAATATATAGAGCGGGATATTACGGTATTAATATGAAAGAATTATCTCGCATTTCAAAATAAAATTATATTTAGTAAAATTAAGTAAACCGAAAATATTTCAACAAATTTTTTTTTTTATAAATCGGATCGGTAAGCCATATGCCCCAATACTGAGCTGGAAAAAAAAAAAATTTTAAAAAAAATGATGTTAAAAAGTCTATAATATTTTTGTAAATGGTGATATAACCCACTAAGAAAACGACTTGAAACATTTATAGCTTCAAAATATCATACCTAAAAAAGACGCAAATATCATCGTTTTTCCATGTTGTATCTAATTATCAAATTTGTCAAGTCGATAATTAAAGCCGTAAAAATTCGGGTTGGATATCATAGTTCCTCGTCATTAATTTTGTGAAAATTGGTAGTAATAACCGAACTATCTTAAGTGGCTTTATTTTTTTTTGATTGTAAGGATGGCAAAAAATCACTTTATTTATACTTCTTTGATTTTGCTGATTCATGCCTTATTTCGGTGATTGGATTAACGGCAATAAATTAATTCCTCAGCCGCAAGGTATTTTTCCCACTGTGAAAAAACTTTTTCATTTGTATTATATTATAATCAGTACATCTATACTAGCTACACAGCCCCTCTTCCCGAGATATGGCTTAGCTTTCAATAATCACAAATATCTAGGAAATTCATCTAAATAATTCACATTTTTGTTTGTTGTTTCTGATTTAGATCTCTTCGATTTCCTTGTGAATAAACCCGGGAACAAGCGCTATCATCATTTTCATCATAACCCACACCACCACCTTCAGCAGCAACGCCCACACTGCCACCATTATATTCTTCCGTAAATAAGATCATGCATCATCTCTCTCACGTTCACGATTTCTCGATGTCATTTCCGGAGCCGTGGATCGCAGATTGCTGATTTAAATATCGAGATTTGAGAACTTTAATCTATCTTTATCGTCCGTAAAAATATCAGCAAAAAAAAAGTCACGCCTGTAAAAGTGATCAAATCAATCATTTTAGTAAATATTATGATAGATCGTTAAGGATAATAGGATCATTATATTCTATTATTCTAATATGCTCTTTAAAAGTAACAAACCTCGGTCGAGTATATTTGGGATTTGAATGATAATGATACTCTTTTATCCTCTATAATAAATATCAAATTGTATTTTTAGATTAGGTTTAATTGATATATTTAATTTATCTCGCTGCATAGAACAGTGCACAATCTTTTTCATAAATAATGAAAGTAATCGTGTAATACCTTTATTACTAATAAGCAGTTATCCTGCTCAAATGGAAATAATCCACCGTAAAAGACCTAGAGAATAAAAAGGTTTAATAATTGTGAATAATTATGATGAAAAATTAAACAAAAGGAAGAAATCAACTCGAACAAGCTTCGCTGTTTTCTTTGTTAAAGTATTTTAATCAATCAAATCTTTATTTTATCTCTTTAGTCGATTATTTCTGAGTTTTCTACGTGTTTTAATTCTTCAATTGTTGAATAACTCATTAATTCCACAACTATTGTGCGTGTTCTTTGAGTTCTCAATATTCTTGATTCTTTTTATTTCTTACTCAAGGAATTTATTTATTATAACCTTTATCTTCACCAACATTATTTATTGACGCATTATTATCTAATAAATATAACATTACTAATGAATGTTCGGGCAGAAATCTTTTGGAAAATAATCGTATCTGAGAACGTTGTTACATACTGATCCTAAAAATTCATTGGCCATTGTTGTTACACTGATTCTAATGGTTGGCCATACACATGGCGGGACGGAAATTACATGTACAGTACTTTCAAAAATAATAATGAGTGTGTATTTTAACTATTTTCATTATAAGGACGTTTCGATGAGCTAATTGTTTGAGTATGTACTTGTTTTTCTTTCGCATTCTTTAAATAAAAGCATCACACTTGATAAAGGAGTATAAAAACATAAAATTATTGAATAAATGCAAGGAATCTTTTATCAGGTTTCTATTTATGCTATTAATAGTTGTAAGAGTAATGTAAACTATTAAGTATTTCATGTTAAAACCTATGACCGCCATATTGAGGTACCATTAATATTATTTTATTATATTGAATTGTTATTTTCAAAAAAAAATATGATGAGGAATTATCAGATTTTGAAACTAAAAAATTACACCTTTAACAGCTGAAGATGTTGAATTTAGAAAGAAAAGTTTTTGTTGTAAATACCGATTTTATGTTTTAGCTAAATAATTTTAAGATATTTCCCAAATAAATTGTGATTAAACAAATTTTTAATAACTGCAAAAGAGTTCATATATAAAAATACTGCTGATTAAGTAATAATGATAAGTGTAAAAAGCTGATTGTTAATTTTTCAATTGTCTTAAAAGGAATTATTTTAAATAAAAACTCTATTATATTAGGAGTAGTCGCACGGAATGTTTATGCGATGAAAGTCTATATCATAAAATCTAATTAAAAAAATAAATCCATATAACATTCTTTTCAAGATTATAATATCATTATTACTTCATCTAGCGCAACAACTTTAACAAATGAGCTTTAAATTAATGTTTATAAGTTTGTCAAGTTTAGAATCTTCTGAAGGATTACCAATTATCTGACTATACTCATTTGGTTTTTGAACGCATTTTAGAGACTTTGAAGTTCGATAAATATGTTTTTGTATATGGGAAATTAGTGGGTTGAACATTAATTAAGTTCAAACACAGCCATTAAGAGTTTTAATGGCCTCTCGACCTTTTTTTTCTTCCATGACTTATACCATTTTTTCTCGGAGCTCATGTTGTATAATTTTTCTTTGAGTTCATGTCGCAACAATTTGTTTGTGATTTGATTACAAATAACATAATTTTATATTTCTTTGAGATCGTCCTATGAAAAGGAATTCCGGAATTGGAATCGATAGTATCCGGAGTCTTTCACATTTTAGGATGACCGAAATATTTTACATTTTCTGGAAGATTTAGACATATTTTTGTAGGGTAGACAAATTCAATTGCATGCACGTTTATGCACGTTTAGCTGACAAAATGACTTAGTACCCGATCCAGAGATTTACGTACGGTAAGATTGAGCCTAACAAAGCCTAACAAAGCCCCCTATTGAAGCTTAGTAATTTTTTAAAATCAAAGCCATAATCAATTTGCATATCCGCATGCGCATTTAGCCATAAAATGGCTTAGTACCTGCAACCGAATATTTGAGAGGCAATCTGATAAGAGCTTGACCTAATCACCCGAAAGAGGATTGTATATTCGAGTAAATGACACAAAGCATGATCAGATCGATCGGCGGTGCAGATTTTTATTTTTGTAAATGCCAAAATTTTTTACTCCACGTGATTTTCACAAAAAATTTTTATATTAAATAGTGTTAAATAATTTAATACAAGAATGTCAAAATGTCAAATGAAAACATTTAAACTGGATGTCATAACTGAATGGATTCCAATATAATAATTTTGGAAATATTAAATTCATAACAAAAGGCGCTTCTTGATTTACTTTATTTATTCTTAGGATTAATAAAGAGATAAATGCATCACTACTAATTTTACAAATGGGAACATTTTATTTCTTTAAATAATAAAATATATACAGTATGTATAAATTCTTTCCTTTAAATAATTTTACCTAAATCTTATTAGAGAAATTTCTGAAGAAGTAGAACATGAACATGAGGAAGTGAATGACGACGAACGACTTGAGGAGGAGAGCTACGAAGAGGGAGAGGAAGAAAAGGGGGTGAAATACTAGGGGAGGCGAGCTACGAAGGGGAAAGGGTTGGATCTTTTTTTTTTTACAAAAAGGAGGACAGACAACTAATTCTATAATGCATGGTTCTAACTATATAACATATTTTTAGAATTATTGATAAGTTTGTCACTTGGATCATACTAGAATCAAGTAAACCTGCTAAGATATCGAAATTATGCCTTTTTTTTGTACATTTTTATTTAGTGATAGGATAGGCCGAGATGTTATTTCATTAAGAGAGATCATATCGATCTTATAATTTTAATTTGTAATAAAAGTATCGATAAAGTTTTTTCAGGAATCAAAAGGAAATAACGTGATGCGAAGGATTATTGGGGATAAACAAAATTTATTTTCACAGACAATGTCATATATAGTATGGATCATTATTATTATTAACTGGAATAATTATTATCATTATTCCGTGAAAGGGATAATTATTATCATTATTCCAGAGATCAAATAATGATAATTTAAATTTTGAGCCGGATCAGACCAGGCTCATAGAATAGTATGAAAAGAGGGACGTTTTGCAACTGGAAGAATTATTATGAATGGGATAATTATTATCATTATTCGATGGGGTAGTTGCAGCGATCGAATAATGATATTTAGTACGAAAAATTTTATTTAGAAAAGTGAAAATTTGATAACGAATAAAAATTTAATTTTGTGTGCATTATATGTTGTTTTTTTCTTGCGTCTTTCGACTTTCTTCGGTTCTATTTATAATGTAAAAAATCTATTATAATAATTGCCTGTATGCCATATTTAGTTTTCTTTTAATTTCTAATTTAATGAAATAAACTTGAGAATAAAAACAATATTCCGAATTGCACATAACAGGATATTTCTGTGACTACACAAAATTTAAAAAATTCTCTATTTATTCTCTTTAAACGAATTTGTCTCCCGGGTATGGCAATAATTGACCCTGATTAACTCTAATCATTCCATAAATTGAAAGTTCAGCCGATATTTCTTGTAAAAAAAAGGATAAATAAAAATAAAATTAGTAATAATAATTACAATCACTTATTTCTTTCAATTAAATATTGTTGTTTTCATCTTCAAAAAAAAAAAAATTTAATCAGTTAGTTATTTATTACACGAAATTAACATGATAGTATTACTATTTTAATTGGAGTTGTAAACGGAGATCCAATTTGGAATACTTTATACGTTCAAAATTTTATTTGTGCTGGAAAAGATTAAATAAGTACAAAAAACAAAAGAATTTATTGATTTAGGAAGAGCTTATAGATTAAATTAGTAAAAAAAAAACACGGGCCAATTTATTAATCGTATTATTTAAATTATCCAACTCCGGCAATACTATTTTAATATATTTATCCCGCCTGAAATTCTTCTTTCAATTTGAGCGTTCCATTCTCTCTCATTCAGGGAATATAGCGATTCGATAATTAATCGATCTTTGTGCGATATATAGTGCATAATAATGTTTCGGGAATTTGTTTACCCGTTCTTATTATGGAATATCATTGACAAGATAACATCATTTGTATTAATTATTATTCAGAAAACAATGAACAAAAAATATAAGGAAATTAATTAATCCCTTAAAACAGTAGACAGCCGTTGAAATATATATGCAATAGGGCCTTTCTTTCGAAGCTAAATCTCGTTTGTTCAAATCGTATTATCTTTGTAAAACATTGAAAATTTTTACTTTAATTGTTTATATTTAGTTTATAAAAGTATAAATTTATTTAAAAATACTAATAACTAAAAATGTCCATTGTCTCAATTGTAATTTTTGAGTTTCATTTTGAATACCAAATATATTGGTGACTAAGGTCAATCTTTTCCCTGGAATTTTAAAATTTTCATCTTCCTGAATTTAGTTTCTTTTATTCCTTTAAGTAAAAGTTCTTTTAATTAAGAAAAATGGACTTATATCGTTCTAACTATAAAGATTTCCCATTCTTAAAACGAAAGTCCCTTTTGTGAGGAGAAAAGTAGGCGGCCTAGCATTATTTAATTCACATATCAAAAACGCGTCAAAATGGGGGGGAGGAGAAAAGTAGGTTGCATAAGAACAAATATCTGCCAATATATTTGATTATAAAAATAAGATTTAGAGATTATAAAATTAAAAGAATTAACAAAATTTTTAGAAATGTGATTTAATATAAAAGATAAGAAAAATTCATTAATAAAGGAAAGAGTACTACAAATGCCGCCCGTTATAATGACATGTCCGGTACCAAAAATTTTTGTCATTATAACGAGATGTTATTATAACAATTTATAAATTATACTATGTAATTTATTATTTTTATAAACGCAATACGCAATTATTAATTACATAAATGTTAAGAATTAATTATTAAAAAATTTATCCAAACTTGCTGATACTACTTTATCATATTGTAAGTTTTTTTGTAATTTTTTTAAACTACTCATTAATTTGTCATCAATTTCAAATTTTTTATCCTGAACTTTATTAATTTCTCACATGATTCTAAAGCTTCAATAGTCTTAATTTCTATTTCACTTTCAATTTCATTATTATTATTATCATCAGGTTCATAGCAAACAGCAGCAACAATTTCTTCTATATCTGGCATTGCATCAACTTCCAAGTTCATCACATTGAATGAATTCACTAGCATTTAGTATCTCTCCATCATTATTTCTTGGTATTTGTCTTATTAACTGTTCCAATTTCTCAAAAGCTCCATCATTTATTTCACTACCAGTTTTTTGCCAAGAATGAATAATAGTATTTTTACTAACATTATTCCATGCTTTTGAAATGGTTAAAGGTTGTGATTTTTCAATTCGATTTTGGCATAATAATTTTTGATAATGACACTAAAAATAAAGTTTAATAAATTATTAATTATATAAAATTTAAAGTAATAATTGTCCGGGCGAAGGATAATGTATATTTACGCACTTTGAAAAAAAAGTCACATAATGGTTTATCCACTCACGATTATTTGATTGGTTTATTTTTGATCAGATTATCGCTATCTTTTTCTGTAAAAAAAATAATCAGTAAATGCTATAAAAAAAAACTGCCAAAACAATAAACCTCTACTCCTATACAAAATTTGATTCGTTCGAGTCTTTCAAAGCTGAAGGGACTAAAGAGATCCTTTAAAGCACGCACCCGAGATACTGCTACAAAAAAAGGACATGCAGCAAACTCTTTCGTTCCAAGATCTATTTTAGCTTTTGGTAAGGCGAGTCCCTGACTTTTGTGCACAGTGATGGCCCAAGCAAGGCAAATTGGAAGTTGCCATCGTGAGCACACACGTCGGATTGGCACGATCGGGACAACTTCAGTCCCGTAATAGTTGGCCCCTTCGTAGTTATTGAAGCTAATAAAACTACTGTTGGAAGGTATGTGATCCTTGGTCATTAAAAATTATGTTCCAAACAGTTCTCATTGAGCCGTTAACTAACCCCAGCTGCTGTCTACAGATTTGCCGTTAACATGATACGTTGATACGTGCTAACAGTGAATCTTTTTGCCGTATCAAAATCGGCGTTTTTTGCCTCCCTGCCGCCAGAATGCACAGCGAGTATCTTAGCTACTGGACGATTCAAGGATCTCCATTCTTGGTAGTATAAATATAGTATCTGAGATTCGGTTGCGTTCTTCTCTGGACTGTTTATATTCAAGTATTTCCTAGTCTTCTATAGTGGATTCTCCATCGCGCATCCTTGAGAGAATCTCCCTAAATTTCTGTTCTGCGGAATCTCCAAATTGCCGCTGAATTGCTTCGAGCTTGTATACTTCCCGAAATTGTTTGTAAGCTGCGAAACCATCATTGGACAATGCATCTCCTTGAATGCCATCATTCATGGGAAGATCGAGCACGGGTGGAAGCTGACCAAAGTCCCCAAACAAAATAATCGATCGTCCACCAAAAGGTTCGTTGTTGTGCTCTGGAAAAGCTTGACGCAGTCCCGATCATATTTTTTTCGTCTATAATGATATATTTCACCCCTTCTAACCTTTGCTGTAATCGTTTTTAATCGTCCCCCATTTATGTCTAGGTTATTGTTACTATTACATATTGGTTTAGATAGTGCGGAGTTGACTGTCCTCCCTCTGATATTGAAGGCTGCAACTCCCATTGGTGCAAGTACAAGTAGTGGAGTCTTAGTCTCGTTGCCTGCCATTTCGTGAAGCATGTTTCGGATCGCCATGATGAGGTATGATTTCCCTGTTCACGCTGTTCCCATGTAGTGGTTCGGTCTGGGCTTGTAAGCATGTTGTGATAATGCAATTTTATTCTCCATTCAGGCTATCATAATTCGCAATGTCCACACACCGATTTTCATTTCCTTCGTCCCGCTCATCTCCAGTTGCCTGTTGCAAAAAATTATTAGCATCTGCGAGATCCGAATCATCATAATGTTGTTTGCCATCATTAAGCCAATCATGGTTTCGATCCATATCGCAGGCTCCCAGGTTAGATGAACTCTCTATGGTTGTATTTGGTCCCATCTCCGCGAATTAGTATGTATTCGTCCTGATCGTCTTTTTTTTCCATTAGTTCTTCCTCCTCAGAAATTTCTTCTTCATTATCTACAGCAAGTCACTCGGGTCTTTGTTAATCTCTTCGATGAAACGATCATACAGTGTTGACCATCCGATATCGCCATTTCAGTCTGCTTGTTCGATATTTCTGTGCCGAACGTGAAAGAGGACCTTTACTCGGTCTCGACGTATGGGTGACGGACTCGAACTATATTTCTTTTTTGCATTTCTTCCAATGACCGTTAACAAATTTGTGGTTAGACTCAAAGAGTGTGAAACTTGATATAATAACAAACATATATACGTGTTAATTAGGGTGAATAAAGACGATCGATTTGGAACCCATTAGTAAATATAGTTATCTTAATATCAACGAACCTGATCCACTAGCAACAACCATCCCGAAGCTTATACCTATAAATCATTATACTCACCGATTTGATCACTTTTACCAACAATCAAACTAAGTGTTGACACAACCAGAAGCTAAAAAAAAGAATAGGTTATCAGCTAGTGAAAGTGATTCGCTGGTAAGAGTAGAAATTATTACGCGCAACCATGATCTTTTGAAGGTCATGAAGGTAAAGTACCTTGAACATATGAATAAAATACCTTAAACGTTACATTTATATTAAATGATACATAACATATTAATTAGGATTTATCTTAGGTGTTGGTAATTTAATGGATATCTCGCTATTGTAAGTTAAAATTATACTGAATGAGTTGATTGAATTTCAAATTAACTGCGATTTCTATTGCTGTTAAGTGACACTTATTAATAAGTACTGCGCGTTGCGAACGTAATGACAAATAATTTTTATGGAGATGGTCTTTTTAAATGAGGTTTGAGATCATAATGGCTTATTATTAAAAAAGAATTGTTTTATGAATAGAGATTATCTATTTCTATGTTGATTACAAACATTAAAAAACATTTTTTTATTATGTAATTAATAGGAATTATTACAACACTGCTTAAATGGATCTATAGATAGATATTACTACTAATTTAGATTTATTAGGAAAGTGTTGACCAAGACTTGATCCTGAAGATAGATATTAAGAAGATGGCACTGCCGCAATTTACTGACATAAAAAAGAGCAGTAGGTATAATAACTGATAGCTTGTATTAGTATATATATAGTATTATGGTTCAACTTATAATATCACACTTAGAACATTAAAACAAAAGAGAGGAATAATTCTTTATTTATTTTATAATGTATTTGATGTTAATGATATTAACGTAAAATAACGGAATGAGAGGTTATAGATTCAGGGCTAATCCATTAGATCGAAAGGTAATTGTTCATCTAAACATTGGTAATTCAGTCACCGGTACATCTTTAATGACATGTGATGGTGAAGGACTTTTCGGTCTTGGTGGCTTAGGTTTCGTTATGGCCGGTGAATATGTACTTTTGGGATTCCGAAACTCCTATTTTCAAGGATTTTTAAAAGAGAATTTAAAATTTAATCAAGAGACGATGTAACGATGTTTTATGCGTAAATTCTCAGAAGAACAATTACCTTTCGATTTAATGGATTATATATTTACCAGACTTTTTTTTTAAAGGAAAAAATCGCGATTGTTAACTTCAAAATCACGATGTTGATTTTTGAAACGTATTATCATCTGATACCTTAGCATCGAATCTGGTTGGATTTTCTAAAATTGTTGCATACTGAGATCTAAAGGAATAAATGGTGATTTTGGGGAATTTTCTTTATTACGAGAGTTATTGGCCCGCGATTCAGTATGAAATTTGAAAGGCTTTGGCACTGTAGGTACGAACGCACGTTTCTAATAGATGAGATATATTATTATTAATATGATAACCCACTTCAAATTTATAATAATTACTTGTCTATATCTAATAAAATAAAACATACGCGTGCGATCTTTTATAATCTTTGTTGACTTTGCTCTAAACCGATTTTTGGTAACAAAAACTGAAAACAAAACTATGGCAACTAATTTTAATAACGACAAACATGAAGTGGTCATAAGTTTGAATATATAGAATGTAATGTTAGTCGGGTCATGTGGGTAGCGCGAAGTACTCAATTGCCACAAACTAAAATTATTTAGTTAAAAAGAGTGTTGGAATAAAATACCACGCGTATGTTTATACTGTAGCATGTTTAAAAATCCACTTATTGGTTTAATTTCACGTGACGTGATGATCAACATTCACTTTGTGAAGAGAGTAAACTTTAAAAATATTAATTAAAATTTTAATAATACAATACTTATGTTTTTAAATATTACCCAAGATTCTTTTTGTAATTCAAAATCGGTCTTAACTTTTGATTTATAACTATTAGTTTCTTCAAATTTGCAACTATCTTTATTCATTTCTTTTTTAATATCTGATTTTATTTGAATTTCTTCTAAATGCAATCTCTGATTATATGATTTTATTAGATTTATTTAAGCATTTATAATAATATTTACACTTTAAACCTAATACCTGAAAACATTCTTCATAATATGTATGTCTATATATCAAAACTTCATCCTTCTTATTTGTTGAATTTCTGCAAAAGTTTTTATCACAAACCTTATTTTATTTAAAGGTATAGAAGAATGGTATTCAAGAGATAAAGTACTTAAAGAAAAACTTGTAAGAATGGATGTAAAATAATAATAAGATTTTTTGTTTCTTTTTCCCTTCATTTTTTTCTACTTTTTTGTTATTTTTTATCTTATCAAAAAAGTTTAATAAAAAAAGAGCAGTTTTTTTAATTATTTTATTTAAATTTTTTTTTTTATATAAATAATCTCTTTTTAGTACAAATGATGTAATAAATAAATTTTTATTAATAATAAATAAAATATTATATTTAAGGAATTTACTTTAAAAAACTTTTGCTATAGTATATCTTTATAAAATAAAGATTGTAAAAATTTTTAATAATATACTTATTAAATATATTTAATTCATAATTTGCAAATAAAGTAGAAAACCCTATATCAAAAATTGGGTAATTATATAATAACGTAAATTCTGATATTATAGCAAACCAAAATACTAATTGTTAAATATAATATAAAAATTAAGTTTATTTATTATTGCTATCAAGTTATGTTATTTGACTTACTTTTTGTTAAAAGTCTGGTAAATTTTTTGAGATTTAAGTATTATAAATAATTTATTTATAGACTTAAAAGTAAAAAATACTTTATTTTTAATGTTATAAATAATGGATTTTTACTTTTAAACTCACAGAAAAGTCATTTCTAATTATTGAAAATTTTACTGAACTTCTAGTAAAAAGTTAGCTAAATGGTATAATTTTATATTAATGGTTTTAACTTTTACATTATATATTTTAATTTGTTACATTTTCAGATTTTACATTATTATATATTACTATATATAACTTAACCCTAGTTTTTAATAATTAGATTTTTTACTTTTCACGCAAATTACGAATTAAATTATTTTTTAAGATTTTGATGATGAAATAATTGATTGCTTACTAATAATACATATCAGACAAAAAAGAAAAAAAAAAATTTTATTATAATTATCAATTATATCTTTAAAGCTTTTTTATCATATACTATAAAAGAAATATTGTATTACTATATTTATTAAATTTATTATTTCAAAAAAAAACTGTATATCAGATATCTAGAGTTATTACAGTTTAATTTCAATATAATGAACCCATGATATAATGAATTCTCAACTTACTGAACTTTTTTTAAAAAACTAGTTTTATAGTATTTAAAAATATTTTGATATACTAATATCATACTGATAAACTTTATATAATGTATACTGAACTTTATTATTAGTTTACCACTTATTATAAAACATAATAAAAAATTTTTTGATATACCAAATTTAGTCACATAATTTGCCAATTTCATCTAAAATTAATTAATTTTGGTCAGAATTAGAACTACCTAATTTTTTGCCTAAATTAATTAATGCCAAAACATCTTACACTGGTCAAATGATGAAGAATCGGTGTATTAAGAGCCAGTTAAGAATCGGGACCAATCAGGTTTCGGTTCTTAACCGGCTCTTATTTTTTTTATCATTAAATAATCAGTATCCCGATAGGCCTATTGATTCTATTATATAAGAAGCCGATAGATTCTAAACGTATATCAAATTTGATCAGCTGATAATAAGTAACAAATTGATTACCTTCCGGATTTCCCGATGACTAATAAATAAACACCCGATCTGTCATGATCTGTCATTAATTTATAAATAAGCATCGGTAAAACATCACATGTC